CCTATATATAATAGAAAGAGTCATTAAGTATAGCCCCCCTACTATACTAATAATCTACATAGGGGACTTTAATAAATACTATCTAATATAGGACCTACTCTCCCCCTAATCCTATAAAGTAGAAGCTCTATATGAATAGATTAAGGAAAACCGCCTTAAGCTCTAAAACTAGCCTAGAGTAGGTACCTTCTTTCATATAGGAATAGAAAGGGAAATAGTTATTAACCTCTCCCTATATACTCTAATAGTTACCGCTTAAGTAATCGACTAGTAGTTATAAGAGAACCCCCTATCTAATTATAACGCTATTCTCTTCACTATTACGTATAATAAGTTTTAAGACATACTAATACTACTACTATAGTTTAACATTAAAAAGGCTAACTAGGCCTAGTATAGGTAAATCATCTAAGAAGAGTTAAATAAGATAGTAATTCTACTTATCTAAGCCCTTCCTAATAGGGCATAATATATACTCTCTAGTAGGACCTTATAGGAGGACCTAGACTAACTTAGATAGAGCCTTATAAAGGTAATAGAGATAGTAGCTAAATATAGCATCCTATAGGTAACCCCTAGATAGTAATAAAAACCCTAGTAGTCCCTACTCCTTATAGCCTTAAGGATAACTACTATATAAGTAAGGCGTAGAGTATATTAGGACTAAGATACATACGTATAAGCATAGAATATATATAATACTACTATTAAGCGGGTAAAATAAGAGTACTAGAATAATTTCCTCATAAAAGAAACACCCTAGTCTATCTATAAGGTAATAGTATATATGAAATTAACCTAATCTAAGCGGATCCCCTAGATACGTAACCTTTAAGATTAACTCTAATCTTTATATAACGGTAAGTATACTACCTTTTAGTAGAAACTCTTTCCCTAGCCGCTATATATTCCCCTACGCGACTAGATAAACTATAAGGAAAAGATATAGGACTAGCCCTCCCTTATAGATAAGGAAGTACTATATGCCTACTCTTATAAGATTAAAGGCACTACCCTAGGGCTAGACTAGATATACTAAAAGATAATTACTAAGGCGTATAACGCTTCTCCCGAAAAATTTACCTAGGTATACTAAACCCTCTTTACGTATAGATATCACCTAGAATACTAGAGAGAAGTAGTAGGTATAATACTTAAGAAGCTAGGGAAACCTAATTATATAGACCTAAAAGCGTATAGAGTTATCTCCCTACTTAACTACCTAGGAAAAGTCCTTAAATATATTATAGTAAAATGTCTTAGAGTGCTTATAGAAGCTACCTACCTTCTATACCTATCCTAAATAGGTAGATAACTATAGAAGTTAGCGATTAATATAGTAATAATCCTTATATATATTATCTAAGATGAGAGGAGGGCATAGTATAAGATATTAACCCTATTCCTTAATGTATAAGGCGCCTTTAATCATATAGCCTATAACTAACTCTTATATATAATAGGGGAAATTAGGCTCCCTACTTCCCTTCTAGTATAGGTAAAGATATTTACTAGTAGTTAATAACTCTAGATCTCCTTTAATAGCTAATAAGAGGACCTTTATCTAATAGTTTTAGGAATCCCCTAAGGAAGCCTAGTCTTCCTAATCCTATTTCTTATCTATATATAAAAGCTCTTTTCCTCTTACTTAGTAAGATTCCTCTTATATATTAATAATATTTTAATTATAATCTCCTTAATAAGTTAGAAGAAAAATGCGTAGATCCTCTAGTAGGAAGTAACCTAGCTCTTCTTACTTAGTACCTAGTATGCTATTAACTTTAATAAAGATAAAATAGACCTTATCCATTTTATAAGCTTAGATAAGGCTAAGGTAGCCATAATTACGCTCCTAGGAGATTATATAGTAAAGCTAAAGTAACTCGTCTAATAGCTTAGGATATAGTTTAATATATACCTATTATTCCGGTAGTATATAATAATTTAAAATGCCTAAGTAAAGTAATTACTTAGATGACTTATACGGCTAGCTAATATATAATATAGACTATCCCCTACTACCGTCTAATAGCTATACCTTACTTACGTATAAAGTATAGTAGACTATAGGTCCCTAGTTTCCTAGTAGGTTAATGGCTCTAAGATACTTAGATAAACACTTTAAAATAGTAGACTATACTAAATCCTAGGAACCTTTTACACCTCCCTAATTATTCCTATAGAAATTAAAGTAGGCCTTCTCCCCCCCTACCTTAGGAGGAATATATTACTTTAAGTATATACTATAAGACTCTTTAAACTTAGTTACTAACACCTAGTATATATAATTATTAATAAGTTTAAACTAGAGAGCATACTAGGACGCTAGATATAACTTAAATATATCTAGAACATAATTTTAGACCTAATAATAGGTACTAAAAGCCTAATTAAGCATGGTTCCTTTCCCCTATAGAAAAAGACTACGCTATATAAAGTTAAGATTAGCTACCTCTAAGAGGAATAAGAAGCCTAAGCACATATTAGATATATAGGACATATAACTTAAGTAGTTATTCTATATTCTAACGCTTCATCTATCCTAAAAGGAAATAGAGTAGGTATAGGGATTATAGTATATAATACCTAATAAGATAGTATAAGAGTAGTAGTAAGATATAGAGTAAATACTAGACTATACTAGCTCATATATAATAGAGAACTAGAGGTACTTATAAGGGCTATAGAGCTAGCTGCCTAGAAATAGCTAGGGTGATAGATTATAGTATATACGGATAACTAAGCTATACTATACCACCTCTAAACCCCATCTAACCTACTAGGTTAAGGTCTATAACTTTAAGCTATAGATATAGGCTACTTAATTATAGCTAGATAAGGTAGTCTTACCTTCTTATAGGCCCTAGGCTATATAGGAATTAGAGGAAATCTATAAGTAGACGCCCTTATAAAGGAGGCTACTAGGCTAACTCTAGAGAATAACTACTTAAGTACTACCCTCCTTAGGATGCGCGTACGATAAAGAACTATAGTAGAATAGATAATATATACTATATAATACTAGGAAGCATAAATAATACTATCCTAGGGGTTATATATATATAACTTCCTATCTATACTAAGGATGTCTATCTAACTCCCTAAGTATAGATAACTAGAAGCATTAGCCTACTTCTAATTAAAACTAAACTATAGCTACTTTAGAGCCTACCTAGTACGGTTTAGTAAGATAGACTAGGATAATTATAGCTATAATAATACCGCCTAATAAACACTATAATACCTTATTAGTAACTACCTACTCTATAGCTCTACTAGGAGAGAAGCTATATAGGAAGCGCGTAAGGTATATAATAATAATAGTAGGAAAACAGCCTCTATACCCTATAGAGAGCTATTCTAAGGAGACATTAGTTAATAATTTATACTTAAATTTATATGTTAGATGAAGGTTTCTACTAGGGTATAGCACATATAAATAGTAGACTAAGGGAAAAAAGAAGAGTAAAAAGAAGAAGAGAGAATCTATTCTAATCTCTACTAGTAGAGTGAATAATAAGCTCCATAATCCCTCTACTTATAGTTCCTATAGGTACTACCCTAGAACCCCTCTAACTAAAGATAATTAAGGAAAGGACCCCTTTATCTATAATCTACCTAATACCCTCTAGGCTTATACCCCTCCTCTACCTTATATAGAGCCTCTACTAAGACCCTAGCCCTCTAGATTAGGAAGGTGTTAATATAGCTTAGATAACTACTCTATAACTACTCTAGCTAAATCCTCCTACTCCTAATAATAATTAGATAACTATTTAGCGGTAAGGTAAGGGCTTAACGCTATTTATCTATATAGTATACCTAGGCTAGGGCGGCATATAGAGCTCTATTATTAGTAATAATGTTAATATACGGTTATCTAATAGCGGTAATAGGGCTAGATTAAATTATAAGCGACATTAATATAGATTAAACCTAGGTTCTTTAGCGTTATTTATTTTCTATAATAAGTATTAGCTAACTATACTAGTTAGCTAGAAGATATATACTACTAGTTAAAAACCTTACCCGCCTTATTTACCTTTATAGGTGCTAAGAAAGGTATTCTATAACGCTAACTAAAAATAGTACTATTAGAGATAGTACTAGAATACTATAGTAGAGCGTATATATAATCTACCTTACCTACTACTCTATACTATATTTACTTTTCTATATATACCTTCTACCTATCCCCCTTCCTTTTATTACTCTTACTTCATGCTACCTATCTACTTAGATAATAGTAGGAAGGCTAGTTCTTAGCCCCCCCTTACCTAAAAAGAGCCTAGATAAACTATCTATCTATAATAACCCTATACTAATACTATACTAAGAATTATACTTCATTATATAAGACTCTTTAGCTAGGTATCCCTACTTACCTTATAAACGTACGTAGTATCCCCTATAGATAGCTCCGTCTTAGATAGCCTATAGCTCTAGTAAGACGTAAAATAATTAATTAATTAATTAATTAATTAAGCTAGATAATATAATAACCTAATAGGTAATACTACTACTTAACTCTAACTTAGCGCCCCTAAGATAGCTACTTACTAATAGTCTAAGAATAGGGGAGGATAGTATAATGCTATAACTAAGATAGGGCCTAGAGAACTCTAACTAGGACCTAAAGGGGGCCGTACTAGGACCTAAAGAGGGCTATATATATTAGTAAGAATATATAAACGCCCTAAGAGATAAAACCTAATAAACTAAGGTTTTATCTAATATCTATACTAAATATATTATTATTATTCACCCTTAATTTAACTCCCTATAGTGCTAAATCTTATAGTAAAATAATTAATTAATTAATTAATTAAAAAAAAAAAAAAAAAAAAAAAGACGTAAAATAATTAATTAACCTATAGCTCTAGTAAGACGTAAAATAATTATTTAATTAATTAATTAATTAATGAATTAATAGTTGAATTAATTAATCTTCTAGTATAGGTTAATTAAAATGCGCATAAAAGAACGGATTCATCATTCATGCGCCAGTGGTTTAGTGGTAAAATTGATCGTTGCCATCACATGATTCGATCAGCCCCCGGTTCGATTCCGGGCTGGCGCACTGATCATTGTCAGTGATCTTTGCTAAGCGTTGGTGGTTTAGTGGTAAAATTCATCGTTGCCATTTCCCGCAGCATCTTCGATGAGCCCCGGGTTCGATTCCCGGCCGACGCATTTCTTTTTGCATTTTTCGACTATCCTGAATGATTGTAGTCGGGTTGCGGAGGTGGTGGTGATGTTTTTTTTTTGGGGGGGAGGATTAGGGGGGTCAGGGGGGATTTCAGGGACGGCGTGCGGTCTTGTGGTATGGACGGGGAAATCAGGGAAGGAGCGAGGCACAATTACTTCCACGTCGTCGAATGAGCGGTACGAAGGTGCTGGTCTTGCGACATGAAACCCAAATCGGTAAATTGTGGACTGGCAAGCGAACGGCCAACCCAACCCTTCAATTAGCACTTGATCCGCGTAGGTCAAATATACCGAGCTTTTTCTTCTGCGCACGTAGTAAGGCAGTCGTAGGGACTGGATGAGCGACATAAGATCAAGCTTGACGGAGCAAGTCAACAACTCCAGCAGAAGTCCAATCAACCGCACTGAGCAGCATCTCCACCCGCAGAGCGCAAGCACACTGCCCACGAGCGGCGACAGAGATCCACGGCCTTCACAATCTACGGCTAATGAATGGCTGGCTTTTCAGAAAGGGTGATAATCGCTTGCTTTGCTTGAGTTGCTGGGAGGCGAAGAGCAACACTTCTACAGTCATTGATCACAACCTTGCATTTCTACCGCAACACGCTTGTGGATGTTGGCATTTGTTGAGAAGGACAACCATGACACATCGCCACAGGTGTAGCGTCACTCAGAGACCGATTTGTGGGCCAGATATGCCACCTCTTCCACTCCGCCAAATTGAGCCGGGAAGTCAATCTGACACATTGTCACGGACAGCACCACGCAACAACACAAACTTCGCTCGCCAGTAATCAATTCGCAGAAAAAATGGATTACTCAAAGAATCAGACCATGTAAAGATAGACGACCAACCATCCGACCCTGACGCGCCCACAAACGCCGACGTTAAAACGTACCTGTACAGGGAAACCAAAGAGCAGACCGACAAGCCATCGACAACATAGCAAAGATGGACAATGAAAAGGGAAAAGTAGCGGGGGGTACCCCGAGCCATAGACGTTTTTGAGTGGGCCGTCTCCAACCTAGTCAGTCCACATGCAAACCCGGCGAGGCGGAAGGAACGTGGCAAGGCGAATGCGCAAGAGGGCGTCGCCGGACAAAGCAGGAGCACAAGACTAGTCCATCACGGCCCGCGCTGAACTGAGTTGGTCTCGTCGTTCACTAGACGTGTCCAGGACGTGTCCAGGCTCCGACCGGGCAAGCACATTCGCGTCGATCCTCCTCCGCCGCTCCACGACGAACAACATCCCCACGAGACTACGCTCTAAGACAGCAAAAGCTGCAGCGCTCGGGATTCGCGTCAAGTAATAGACATGCATGTTCTGTGCTTTCAAGCAAGGAGAGGAAGTGCGTTTAGGAAAGCGCAATGGCGCCGCGACGGCTCTCGCGCACGTGCAAATATGCTTGGCCAGCGCAAAAGACGAGGAAGACCTGTGAACGGAGGATTATTAGCACACTTGTAGGCGCGGGGAAGAGCGACATGGGAGGCTGAGGACGTACACCGTAGACGGCTACCGCACCAAATACCGAGGCGGCGACGACGGGGCCATTCTCTGGATCTTCCGTTGAGCCCATCATGACGTGGTTGTTCGTCTAAGATATCTCCATGTTAGCTGATCCGTTTTGGTGCAGCAAACGTAGCTGACGATCGGTGTGATGATGCGGAGGTGCGGTGATTCGGCGAAGCGCGCTGTAAAGCGGGGGCCAGAGCGAGGGAGAATAATCCGGAGTTACAAAAAGGTCACGACAGGCGTACCTTGAACAGCGAGCCGATGACGGAAAGGATTACGATTGCGAAGATGGACACGACGATGCTGAAGCGTGGCGTTAGCGGAATCCAACGGTATAGAAGCTTCAAGCAGTCATGCGCGAAATCTCCACAGACACTCCTCCAAGCAGAAAGACTGCGGTATGAGGACAGCGAGAGATATCGGTTGGGGTGCTGGCGCGTACCATGTCCATGCATTCAGAGCAGAAACGACGGGCTTCATTATGGCGGTCGAGTACGGTATGAAGGGTACAGCGGCGGTCGTCGGTCGAGGCAGGAACGGTCGCGATTGAGTGGTAGCGGCGGTAGAAGCTCACAGCGCCGGACGATTCTGCGAGCGAACGGGAGTGGTCGAGGGCACTTTTTGCTGATGGATTATGTCAAAATGGAATGACGACGTTGATGGAGGTCGGCCACAGCTGGTTGGTGAGCGGACGTCTTGGCGGGCGGTGTGACGGGAACGGCACAATTACTAGCGCAAGACCGGGGTCGGCAATTGATGGAATGGCAGGGGGTGTCCAACTACGACATCACTGAGACTGAACACGTCCTCTTGCTTGATTTGCTGCTCAAAAAATTCAACGGCGAGGCAGAAGTACTTGCGAAGAAATGGACAGTCAGTTGCTTGTAATCTGTATGAAACATGCCCACTTTTGAGTACTTCTTATTTCATTTCTATCTGGCTTGTTACTTACGCTGGCCAGACTTTCTCACATCTCTCTCATGCATTTTCTCAAGCATCCAGAGTCCCATGCTGAGTGGCTATTTTGCCATTCACTCACCGTACAATTTCACCTCAAAGCCCGACCGGCAATGTCCTTGCGATATTGCATGCCTTCAAAGTGAATTGCCTCGACGCCCTTGTACGCCTTCTTGACGGCCTCCTCCAGAGTCGGTGCCCATGCTGTTGACGCAATGACGCGTCCGCCAGCAGTGCGAAAGATGCCATCTTTGAGGCTCGTGCCGGCGTGGAAATGGACATTGTCTTCAGGGACGGGGTCCAGCTTCATCTCGATGCCTTTCTTGTAGGATCCAGGGTATCCACCAGCAGCCACCACCACAGTCGTGGCAGCCCTGTCGGCAACCTTGACCTCAAAGCCACCGAGCTTGCCCTGGGCACCAGCCAGCATGATTTCAGCGAGGTCGGTCTCCAAGAGGGGCAACAGTGACTGGGTCTCTGGGTCGCCAAAGCGGACATTGTACTCAAGGACCTTTGGTCCGTTCTTGGTCATCATGAGACCAGTGAAGAGACAACCAACCATAGGGTAGCCTGATACCTATCAGCATACCACCCAATGGTTGAAGGAGTCATACCTTACCTTCAGCGCGCATGCCGTCAATTGTAGGCTGTTGAATCTCCTTGTGAATTCTGTCCACCACGTCCTTGGGAGCGATGCGAGTGGGAGAGTAGGTACCCATGCCGCCGGTGTTGGGCCCCCGGTCGCCATCAAAAATGCGCTTGTGGTCCTGTGCAGGCGGCAGGCTCTGGATGGTGGTGCCGTCGCTAAAGCTCAGTATGCTGAGCTCGTCACCCTCAAGAAACTCCTCAATGACGACCTCATCACCGGCAGCACCGAATTCCCGGTCCAGCATGATGTCCTTGAGCGCCTTGTGACCCTCCTCTTTTGTTGTGGGGATAATGACGCCTTTGCCAGCAGCCAGGCCGTCGGCCTTGATGACAACGGGATGGTCGACGCTGTCCAGGTAGGCGCGAGCGGCATCGTGCGAGGTGAAGTTTTGGTAGGCAGCGGTGGGAATGTTGTGGCGCTTCATAAAGTCCTTGGAAAAGGTCTTGCTGCCCTCCATGCGGGCGGCAGGGCCCGACGGACCAAAGGCGAGAATCTTGGGAGCATTTGCCTTGAAGTGGTCTACAATGCCATCGACGAGGGGAGCCTCGGGGCCAGGGACAAGAAGGTTGACGTCATTGTCGAGGGCGAATTTGACGAGTCCGGGGAAGTCGTCGGCTTTGACCGTCTCGATGTTCTTGGTCTTGTCAAGGGCGCCGGTGCCGCCATTGCCGGGAACAACAAATATTTGGTCGATGCGCGGGGATTGGGCGAGCTTCCATGCAATGGCATGCTCACGGCCGCCGTTGCCGACAATGAGGACGCGAATGTCAGCCATTGGGCCAGTGTGGGAATGATTGATTGTTGTCTGGCGTTCAATGTCGAATGCCCCGCGGCGCAAGCTCTGAAATTCTGGTGGAGATGGTCCGATTCGCGGGGCACGCCTGGCCAATAAGTCCTTGCCGCATCTGCCGATACTAGCTCAATGCCAGTGCGGTCACGATAAACGCGTGACCCTTGCTCCCAGTTTTCGCGTAGGGCTGGCGCAGAGCAGAGCGTTGACTCCATCTCGAACCACCAGAGAAAGACTCGTCCGGCGAGCCCATCGAGGTCGCTGACTTCGCACACGCACCCAACCACCATGGCCTGCGTCATCAAAGTCCCCTGCTCCTCTGCCAACATCGGCCCCGGCTTCGATGTCATTGGCCTCGCCCTCTCCATCTATCTCGAGCTTCATGTCACCCCCAACGACGGCGCCGCACAATCCAGCCCTCTCAACTGTCGCATAACCTACGAAGGCCAAGGCGAAGAGGAAGTCAGCCTGGACCCAGACAGCAACCTCATCACCCGCACCGCCCTCTACGTTCTCAAGTGCCATGGCCAAAGGACATTCCCCGGCGTGCATGTCCACATCAAAAACCCAATTCCGCTGGGAAGAGGTTTGGGGAGCAGTGGAGCCGCAGTGGTGAGTTGGAACGTTGGATGCACAAACTATGCGCCGGCTGATTCCCGCCCAGGTCGCAGGTGTAAACCTCGGAAACGAGGTTGGAAAGCTTGGTCTCACCAAGGCTAGAATGCTGGATTACTGCTTGATGATTGAGAGACATCCGGACAATGTCGCGGCGGCGCTCTATGGTGGATTCGTCGGAACATACCTCAATGAGCTGGACCCAGAGGACATGGCCCGCAAGGAAATCCCTCTGGCAGAGGTCCTGCCCGAGCCTGCTGGTGGTGTGGACACTGGCCTCCAGCCGCCGGAGCCTCCACTCAACATTGGTCACTACAAAAAGTTCAAGTGGGCAAAGGAAATCAAGTGCATTGCTATAATACCCCAGTTCGAGGTCTCGACTGCCAAGGCCAGAGGAGTCCTTCCGGAAAAGTACTCTCGTCCCGACATGGTCTTCAACCTGCAAAGAATAGCATTGTTG